CCGATAGCATGTTAAGTAAAGCTTTGTGCACCTCGCAGGATGGTGGAATGGACAGTCCCGGGTTCACAGGAGTAAGTGAACGCTTTGCCTTTTCTTTTTGAGGAGATCATGGATTTCTAACTTTGGAAGATTTCAAGAACGCGTTTCAGCAGGTGGCTCCCAAATTACCAGCGAGGGTCATTCTGGAGGTCTTCAGGTAAGTCGCCCAAATATTTCAGTGCCCTCATCCCTTGCTTCGCTTTTGCTTTGGCAGGTTTTGAGTTTTAAGAACATGTATGGTGATTTTTCACTTATGATTGTTGCCATCTCACAGTGTATTGTCCCAAATGAGGGAAGGAACTCATAATTAGCCATTATTAAGTGTTTAAAAGAAGCCCTCTCCCACGGTGTGGTGGTTAAGCATTTGTCTGCTAACTGAAAGGTCAGTGGTTCAAACCCACTAGCCCCTCAGTGGGAAAAAATATGGTCATCTGCTGCCATAAAGATGGACAACCTTGGAAACCTTTTGTGACAGTTCTGTCCTGTCCTCCACGGTCTCTGAATCCGTTGACTCAGTGACAGTTGTTTGGCAGTCTTGAATAACTTGGAAATGGATTGTTGTTGTTCGATGCCATCAGGTCGGTTCTGACTCATAGCAAACAGAACGTACAACAGAATGGAACACCGCCCGGTCCTGCGTCATGCTCACAGTCACTATAGCTAAGGCTAGTATTGCAGCCATTGTGTCATTTCACCTCATGAGGGTCTCCCTCTGCCAAGCTTGATTTCCTTTTCCATGGACCGGTCTCTCCTGACAACATGTCCAAGTACATGAGGTGAAGGCTCACCATCCTCACTTGTAAGGAGCTTTCTGGCTGTAGTTCTTGTAAGACAGAATGGGAAAGGGCTTTGCTTGGGCTCTATGATTTGGCCAGCCCAGTGACGTTGGGTCCATCCAGACCCTGGCCAGCAGGCTCTCACAGTGGGTGGGCGCATCACCAGTTTAGGTGGCGCGAGTGGCAGAAGAGCAGAAACAAAGCACTTTTTTTTAATGTATCCACTGGGAGGAAACAAAAAAGAAACTTTATTAATACTTAATGTTGACCCTGGTGTTCTCCCGTGGCCTGTATGTCAGTCAGACACAGTTTGTAGGTGGGTCTTGACTTTTCTGGAGATGAGAGATGGAGTTGCTGACTGGTTGCCCGTCACTCAGGGGCGTCAATGTTACGAATACCGGTTGCAGTTTATGCATTCCTGAGAAGGTGGACTTAGAGGATCTCTTACCTGGTTTTGATAAACTTTCCTTACAAAATGGACAAGTGACTTCACATAGCTTTTTCAGGAGGCAGCACATTGAAGGTGATATTAATGGTGCCTGCACATGCTAACAATGAGGAAATGGCAGGCCTGACACTTCGTGGACTCCTAGCATGAGGTCTTTGTCAAGCTGCTTACACGGTATGTTAATTAGGGTTCAGCACAGCAGTGAGAACAAGAATACCCAAAATGAGAGAATTTTTCCACAAAGATAAAAATGTATTCCCTGGTCTCACAAGCAGGCAGTCTAGAGAGAGTTGGTGACTGTGTGCTCATGAAGGACCCACACTGCCGTTCTTGCTGCTGTGGTGGGATCAACACCCAACCTCACCCCCCTGCTTCAAGATACAGCGGCTCCTAATTCAGCTACTTGAGAGGGAAAGGAGCCGAAGATGGTCTCCCATCCCAATAGTTTTATTAAGACAGAATTCACATATTAGTATGCATCCATAGTTCAATCATATTTAAAAGGAGTTGTATATACATGACCACAATCAGTTCTAGTGCATCCTTCCTTGTCCCATCCTCATCATTTGCTCCCCAATTCCCCGCCACCTCCCCCCACCCCCCTAATCTATTATATCAATTGTTGTCTCGATACATCTTCCCCTTCTGTGCTTCATAAACTGGGACATTATTAAAAATATAGCATGAAGACTGTATATATTTTATAAAGGAAAAAAAAGGAAGAAATAAAAGTCCATCAACAATATTAAAATAAACCAAAGAGAAAAACTCTGTCAAAAAACAAGCAAAAAATATTTAAACCTAGAACTAATCCAGGATGGGTCAAAAGGGAGATCAAATGACCAGGTATCATTATGTCATGGTTCCATCTCCACCATGATCAAGTTACCGTATATACTCGTGTATAAACTGAGTTTTTCAGCACATTTTTAATGCAGTTTTGGTGTTAAAATTAGGTGCTTCGGCTGATAATTCAGGTTGGATTATACTCAAGTATTCATGGTAACAAAAATCTTGGTCTGATAGCCAGGCAACTTGAGTCTCTTTGACTGGTCAGAGGACATTTGCCAGACTTAATCCTCATAGGTGTGCTGCAGATGGATTTTGGGCTCCTACTGTCATCCACAGCCTTTGGGTGAACATTGGGCGCTCTGGATTTAATCTCTGATACCTTTCCCTCCTCCTCCTTCTTATTTTGTTATTTGTCATCTTTGGATCTCACAGGCTGATGTGCTTCTTCCATGTGGACTTAGTTGACGCTTCACTTAGATGCTTGTTTGAATACAAGTTTTTAAGACCCCATACACTATTCTTTTTGATAACTGGGCAACATCTGCTTTCTTCACCACCGTTGGCTGTAGCAGCCACATCCCTTCATGAAGGTAAGTATCGAGCTGGGCCAAGTCCTAAGGACTAAATATTCCTTGATTGGTGCCAGAATTAAGTGGGAGCCCCGAATCCAAGGATTATGTACAACTTTATACTTCTGATGTGTCATTATCCTCTATGACAAAGAAGGTTACCAATCTTCCCCCTGGGGAATAAGGCAATTCCATTGATAGCGTCATTAACTTTCCAATAGCCCCCTCTCTTTAAGGAGCTATCGTTATGCTTACATCTTAGGGACCAAGAGAGTATCAAAGCCATGTGTAGTCACTGGCAGGGCCTGGGAAATGCTGTCTGGGCTCTGAGAAGTCATGTGCTCCATTAGTTATAGAGGTTCTGATGACGAAGAAGAACAAGGGAATGGATCTTTGCCAGGGGGTAGGACACCTGACAGGCCCAGCTGTTTGAGGCAAAAGCAATTTAATGATGTCATACCAGGATCCAGTGCCCCCCACTAAAGAAATTGTCAAGCAAGTTAGTTACTGGGAATCAGGACTTGGCATTCACTTTCATTAACAATGACCTCCTGTAAAAACGTTATTGGATCCATCGTTCATGAGTTGGACATTAAATAAAGCAGACAGAAGCATCGACACATTTGAATTGTGGTGCTGGAGAAGAAGATTGAAAACCGATCCGTCTCAGAAGAAGTACAGCTCGAGTGCTCCTTAGAGGCCAGGATGTGAGACTTTGTCTGACATACTTAGTTTGGCATGTTGTCAGAACAGTCCTGGGAGAAGGTCAGCAAGTTTGGTAAAGTACAGAGGCAGTGAAGGAGAAGAAGGTCCGAGAGGAGATGGATTGGCACAATGGGTGCCATAGTGGGCTCAGGCATGGAGAATGGGCTTGGACCCCGCAGTGTTCCCTTCTACCATGTGTGGCGTCGCTGAGAGTTGGAACCGGCTTGATGGCTCCTGACCACAAAATTTGTGAGCATGCCACTGTGCAGGCTATTGAGTAAGGTCAGAGACATTCAAGCAAGAAGCAGGCAAAGTGCTATAGGACAATAGTAGCAATGTAATTTTACCAAAGCAACTGTAGTAGCATCTTTGTTTAGACTTTTTAATGAGATGATTACTAAGTATCACAAATAATCAAATTTCATCTTTATTTTGGTGAACAGCGTTTACTCCTACAGATCTATAACGTAGATTATTATAAAGTCTAAAGGACATTTTTGCTAATGTGAAGTAGATCCAGTAATAGCAATCAATAGTGAAAATTACGGGCACTTAGAGCACACTTGTGTTTTATGAGCAAAAGTAAAGAACAAACAAACATGGAAAACCCAGGCTTGGTGCATAAGACGCCCGAGAATCACTTTCCTCTGTGACTCGGCAGAGACGCTGACGAGAGCCCTGATGCACAGTGGGGACAAGCTGGGCTGCTAACTGCCACTGTTGGAAAAAGATGGGGCTTTCTACTCCCGTAAACATTTACAGTCTTAGAAACCCAGAGGGGCAGTTCTCTGAGCCGGCATTGACTCAGTCAATGGCAGTGAGCTTTGATTGGTGAACACAGAAGATGTGGAAGCCATTGTTGTTAGGTCTCTCATGAGGGCTGAAGCTTTGCAAGGGCTTAAAGAGATACTTCTGTAAGGTTTGTAAATTGTTGCCTAACCTACTGCAGTGAATCAAAGCTCTCTCTCTCTCTCTCTCTCTCTCTCTCTCTCTCTGTGTGTGTGTGTGTGTGTGTGTGTGTGTGATTCAGTATATTGTCAGGGTTCGTAGCATGTGCAGTCTGTTCTGCGATCATAATTTCCTCATTAATTTTGTAGTCTTAGTTCTACAGCTAAATGGACTTAGCACTCAGGCCTTGTGTGAGAAGGTCTACTTAGCTGAAGCTTATTTTCTAGTGGGGATCATAAGTATATTCTTCTTGCCTTTCATGTTCAAAGATTGTGCCTGGGCATTGTGCTTGGATAAACGTAGTTAACCAATTGAGTGGTAATATCCTAGACTCTCATTCTTTTTGTTTGAAAACACTGGTTATGTTTATGTTAAAGGTTCTTTTAAATTTCTAATTTAAATGGCTCCTTTGCCACCATCTCTCTGTATATTTTCAGCAAGGTCCATTGTCTTTTGTCCTGTGTCCTTCTCCTGTGATGATTTGATTTTTCTCTTGTTTTTCTTTCTTGAGCTGTATCTGCTGCTGCTTTCTCTCCTTTTGTTACGTTAGTGTATCTACACTTTCTCTTTTCAGCCTTTCTATGTTTGCTTTCAACTTCTGTTTTTATAGAGCTATTTTCTTTATTAGGGAAAGGAATTCTTTTCACGACTTTCTTTTTAATGGGTGATTGCTTGGGTTTCTCTAATTGTAACTCTTTCCAAATAATTATTGAAAGCAACTTTTCTTCTGAGAGAGGAAGTTTTAAGAACAAATGACTTTATAAAACCAAGGGAGGATTACTCATGTTATAAAGAAACCTGGGGGTGTGGGGGGGGGGGAGAGAAAGAAACTAGAGACAAAATTTGGTACTAGTTTATGCCATTGCTAAAGATATCATAAAATATTTAATATTTGGATTTCAAATTCAGAGAGTCCTTC